TTAGTACACTGAGTTTATTAAAAAAAATTGATGATATAACTTTCGTGTCAGGATAATGCAAAAAATATTTGATGTAATTTCTGGAGTCCAGAATATATTTTAATAACTATTTTTTGTACTGATGAAATTTTTTTAGCTGTGTTACTTTCAATAATTAGATTCTGGAGTGTTACTGTCAATAATTAGATTCTGGATAAGAATATTGTGTAATGTATATAAGATTTGTATTTACCAAGAATTATTGGGGAGCAGGGCATAAACAATTAAGAAGTTTTTTTACAAGAATACTAGTAACCATATGTAAAGTTACATGAGGTCTTCAGTACACTGAGTTTATAAAAAAAAATAATAATAAATTTAAAGTAATGATGATATAACTTTCGTGTCAGGATAATGCAAAAAATATTTATGTGATTTCTGGAGTCCAGAATATGATATTTTAATAACTATTATTTGTACTGATGAAATTTTTTTAGCTGTGTTTTTAGCTGTGTGTTACTGTCAATAATAAGATTCTGCATAAGAATATTGTGTAGTGTATATAAGATTTGTTACCAAGAATGATATCATCTTGTCTATATTTGTGTTGGCTGCCAATAATAATTTCTGTTGGATTCATGGATAAACTTTTTAGGACACTTATAGCTTCAATTTTTGCTGCTTAAAATCATAAAAAAAATGTCTTGTGAAACATTGTTATTTTTAAGAGAATATCATTATGGAACTCTTTAAAAAAATCACTATGGAACATTTTATTTTAAACTTGTCTGTATCTTAAGATAGTTGAAGGGGATAGTTGGATAATTAAATGTATGCCAAGTATTTTGAAACTTTTCTAAGATCTTTTTCAGCTATGTTTATTAATAACTATATGCTTATAAATGTGCAAAAGCAGATATTTTGCCTAGTGTTAGAAATGAACACCAGTTATTGATATATTAAGGAGTTTAGTTATGTGCTATATGTAATATAGTCACTTTGTTAAAAAGTATCATAGTTATTTCAAAATTATCTATCAAGTTATGGTTTAGATCCGTAAGCAGTATATTTAGCAAGGCAGACTACTTTTTATTATCAATAAAAATATTCTGGTTACATTACATGGACACTTTTTTTTTTTTTTTTTTTTTTTTTTTTTTCAAACTAGCCTTTACAGGGTTCGTACGGTCCTTAAATGTTTTGGTCCTTAAGGGTCCTTAATTTTGGCCAAAATCAGTAGAAGGTCCTTAATTTTAATCATCTGAATTTTCTGTCTGTTTTTACGATTGCCATTTTGAGTGTGAATTAGCATTTTGGAGGAATATTTTTGGCGAATTCACTGACGTAATATGGTTATCTTTTGAATGGGTGAATGCGTTCATGGGTTATAATTTGTTTCCTATTTCTAATATAAATGGCAGGGTCGAGAGTTTCTAAGCAAGAAGTGAAACATAAGCATTTCGAAATTATTTCATTTTTTCATAAATGAAGAGCTCTTTAAACAATTTTTCGCTTTTGGCTTATGTGAATTCTTTTATTAAATTGCTTCTAAATTTGGAGACTTGTCAACATTTTGGGGAAGTTTTAAGATCAGTTTCTCTAGAAAATTTTTAATTCCAAAATCAGAATTTTTCGAGGATTTTTTTTAAAACATCATAACATTGATAAATTTCCATAAAATTATGGTAAATAATTAGAATTATATTTAAAAAATAGCATTAAACTAAATCATTTTATTTTTTGCCGTCATATTATAAATTTTCATTTTGGCAACTTATTATACAATATTTTGAATCTGAAAAATAAATAAGGTATAATGCTGTAAAGCATAATTTACAAAACAGCTCATAGGAAAAGCAAAATGAGCTATGTAATTAATTAAAAATCTTCTTTTTAATTTTTTCATAGTAAGCGTTTTTCCCATGTAATTGTCTCAGAATATTCAAAATTCTCAGAATATGCATCAGTTTTCTCTATAAAATTAATTTTACACTTTTTCTCTCCTACACCTTTTTTTTTTTTTCCCCCAAAAATATTTCTGGCTTTTTGCTGTTACAGAATTGGTTGGGATAATTTTTCTTTAGTATTTTTGACATTGCAGCTTGGAAAATTTAGAAGTTTGAAGGCAAGATTTATAGACCCACGATTCTGGAAGATTCCAGAAATATGTGACAAAATGAAAAATGTCTCCATGGTATCAATGCGTAATGGACGTATTTTACAGAAAGTTTGCGATGAATTTCTTACTTTTTTGGAGAACGTCTGGAAGAACAATGAAGACATAATATTTGAATGTTTTACTCCTGATACTAGAATCTTTTTCTTTACATGTCTATCTTCCCTTTATTTTCTCTACTTTTCACTAGACACAAGCATGGAAAATATCAAAAATGCTTCTAATCTTATCACTTGGGCAGACATTATAGAAAGGAATTTTTTTTATTAATAAAGAAATTGAAAACTTAGAATTTAAAAGATCCATCTAATATGTCTTAATGCATCATACCCAGAGCTCACACTAGGCATTTTCCCATCTGATGCAGTCTCTGTGGATCCTAAATTTGACTGTGTAGTACCTTTCTAATTTCTGCTTCCAATGCCTGTTCTAAATTCTAAAAGTTTTGCCTTTTCTAGATTTTGTTGTTTGGTGTGTTACTAAATTCTAAAAATTCTGCCACACCAGCTCTGTAACCGGCCTTTACCATATATATTTCATATTTTCTCTGAATTTCATATTACTAAAGAAATTAAATTAGTCACTTTTTCTATACATTCTAAATGCATTTAATGTTTTTTAGAAAAACATAAATCTTTAATTAAATCTAAAAATTCTAAAATGAAAAGGAAACATGCTGAAGAAAGAAACTGAATACATAAAGAAAATTATTCTTCAAAGATATGTGCAGTTATTATTATGTAAATTACTCAATTGTTTATGATTTCAGCCTTTACTATAATTTTCCATTTCTGTTTCCTCATATGATAGGGTTACTGAGCCAGATTAAATTAAATTGTATAATCTTTAACCACTACTCTACATTTTTAGTTTGAATTTGACTGTTCTTGTTTAATTACGTTACTCTGATTAAATTTGTTAGCATCAGAACATGCCTTTATATTTTGTTCTAAGTTCTTTATAAATAAGAGGCTTATTTAAACCTTTGTCTGATATTTTAGTTACTTTCAGACATAGTGATAATTTGCTTCAGATCTATTGGGGGTTTTGAATTATTTAACTTTTACCAGATCAAGTAAACCCTCATAGGTACATTGTGGAGTGGTTGAGAAGTTAGGAGATAACTTCTCAACTAGCGAGAGCATTGGTTTGCATATTGAGGCAAATATCTAATTATTGTTAGAAAAGATGCTTAAAGAGAAGGAAATCGATATAAACTAGCCAAAATGTTTGAAAAAGCTTCAAATTAAAATGACGGATAAATATTTTGTTGAGTGTTGTTGTTATAAAACATAAATGTTTTGTAGCTTTTAGTGTGTAATTATTCAAATATCGTTTAAGACTCAGTGTCATAAATTACATGTATTTTAAACTGTGAAATTGTCTAGAGGGTGACCTGCTGATTAGAACAAACTTGAAAGGCCTGATGTAGGCACGGTTAGCAAGTGTTCAAAGTTAGTCAGGCTCTGCACTTGATGCAGTTAGTGTCATAGCTTTGTGCAGAATTCCAGAGGTTGTTGAATCTTCTTTCAAATATGTCCAACCTATTACAAGTTTAAAATATTTAATGCTACTTGATAAACTGCTTGAAGTTTATTTTATTTTCAAACTTAATTATTAATAATTATGTTAATTAATTCATGTTTAGTAATAAGGCATACTACTACTTAGGGATCTATTTTATTTTTAGGATGATATTACAAAAGTGAAATTCAGGCATAGAATAATATTTTCAATTGAATTTATTCAGTTCCCATTTGCTCATAGGTCCTTAATTTTTTTCATTAATGGTCCTTAAAAGTACTTAATTTCCGTGTGCAGAAATGTGTACGAACCCTGCTTTATTGATAACTAAGAAATTACGTGCCCTTTACGATCAAGAATCCCCCACCACTGAGAGATGAAGAAATTCACTCCAGCTTTGGTAGTAATCCATCAATACGATGGGCTCAGCATTGTTAACACATTTTTACTGTGCACTTTTTGAAGGTAGGTTTCTATAGTACAGAACTCTTGGTGCCCCTAAGTTGATTGCCGTTGATCATGGTGGAACCTTACATTAAACATTCAATGATTGAACCATTAATGGCAGGAAAAATGATAACATGGAAAGAAATCATGTTCAAATAAATTCCCTTTCCGTATGGATAGGTGATCTCATTTATAATGTTTATTCAAGGATTCTTTTTTGTGTAGAAATACTGTAGAGTGTTTCTGGATAAGTTGAGTGAATATAATGGGCAGAATTGTACATTATTGAGATCATCTGGGACTATCGTTGTCAAGGAATATTCATCTTTTCTATTTCATAAAAGATTTCAGATATTTTGTATGAATTTTGGGAACAAAGATTTCCAATTTTAAAAAATGCTTATTATTTTGTTGTCTATTTTCTTCCTGTTTACTAATTTGCCACTATTTTTGATTTAATTATTATCTTTTGATTATTTATTTAATTGCAGCATACTGCGGGATTTTGATAGTTAATAATTTTAGTATTACAGTTTTAGAAATATGTGAGCAGTAGTTTCTTCAGAAATGTACATTTATTGCTCAAATATAAATTTCAAAAGCTGAAAAATCACAGGCTCTAAAATAAAATTCTTTGTGAGTTGTTTGTTATTCAAAGATTCAGGAATGCTAATTTATTAAGATTTCCTGTTATCTTAAATGTTTCATGTAGCTTATTTACATGAATGCAATAAATTATTTTAAAACCAGGCACACAACAATATTATAAATTATTAATTTCCTTCATATTAGTTATGATTGAAATATGTTGTTATTTTCTAGTTCTGTATTTCAATTATATGCTCTAATATAGTTTTAAAAATATTTTTAATAGGATTGGAAACTTTTAGAAGAATTTCTGATAGCGGTATTGCTTATATGGAGTCTAACAATTTGTTGGTTCCTACCAGAGACCAGTCTGAAGGGCAAGGCAAACAGCTACTTTTCAGGAATCATTCTAATATTTGCAAGTTCTGCAGTAAATCCTTTAGCCATAAATCTAACTTGAAAAAGCATTTGAAACTTCACACTGGGGAACGTCCTTTTGTGTGTCCTACTTGTAAAAAAAGTTTTGCTGCAAAAGGAAATCTCATTGTTCATTTAAGAATGCATACAGGTGAACGTCCATACGTTTGTCAAGTTTGTGGCAAGAAGTTTAGTCACAGTTCAAATCTCCGCATTCATTTTATGGTTCATATGAGATAAAAGATATTCTAAAAATATATGCTAAGTGTAAATATTTTGGATTTTGCTTCTTAAATTCATATCAGTAAATCTTTTACTTTGATTTACTGATTTAAATTTATTATGTCAAGATAGATGCATCCATTTATTTAATTAATGCCTTATTTATATATTAGATTTTTTTATATATATTTTTTAGGTATGAGTTTCAAGACTTTTCATTTCATTAACTTCTATTTTATTTTTAATTTCTATACATTATGTATGAAAATTTTTATTTTATTTTGTAGAGAGTTTCTAAGTTTTCTAAATTATTCTTAAATAAACATTTTATCAATAAAATTGATGTCTAAGGGAGTGGTTAACATAATAAATTTTATATGAGGGGATTAATTTAACAATATAAAGCTAATTAATTCACATAAAAATCAGAAATCATACTAATTATAGTAAAAGGAATAATATGACATATATGAAATCTATATACAGTAAATATAATTTATATACTCTGCAGATTCACTGTTTGGATTTAGAAAGCCAACCAGCACACATTTAGGAATAGGAACCATGTCCTTTGAAAATTAAATTGTTTGTGTTATTTTCCCCTCTTGGTGTGATAAAATTAGGAAAGAAAAGGGAGAAATAAGCGAGTAAATGCTGTGTTTTATTTTTTATTTTTATTTTTTTTTCCCTGTAAGACAGCTAAATCACTAAAGTGCCCAATTTCTTTTATGTCTACCTACATTTGAGTTGAATGTTGAGATTTGTTATGTGGTGCAGCTCATTCGTCGTCATACAGTGGTGTGCTTGATTACGTAGATGCATCTATTTTTCTGTCATATGGATGGCTATAGGTACTTGAAATATCTAATAAACTTGTCCTAAATTTATATGCCCATTAAAAAGCATGAACTTCTATACTGCAAGTACATAAGGCGTATACTAATGTTATTTTCTGAATGAAGGTATTGTTTACGATTCCTTTAGGGTAGCAAAAAAGTTCATAAATGCATTATACTGCTACTGATATATTTATTTCTGAAAAGCAAGTCTAGCAGGGCTTTTGTTTAAGCAGACCAGCATAAAAGCACACTTCCAAAATGTGGATCTGTATTAGCAAATTCTTACATTTTTAAAATTCTGTGAAGAAAATATGACATGAAATTTATCTAATATTTTTACCTATGCTGATGGTTATATAAGAATGCAACGGGGAAATTCTCTTTTTTCTGTAGATATTCACAGTTACGCATTTTACATATGAACTGAAGTGTGCTTCCATTATAAAAGATCTCTTTTTTGAAGTTACTGTAGAAAAAACATTTTGTAGTTGTATCATCGTTATTGCTTATGTATATTATTGGTTAAAAAAAAAAATATTCTGAAATACCTCAGTTTTTTGGGGTGGTGTGTGGGGGGGAGTACATATGCTGAGTTGGAATTGAATATCAATTTTTTTTAGTATGCATGGAAAATTAAAGTGTTTAGAATTTTTTTATTACTGTTATTTAAAGAAATAATGATATCAAGAAAATATAGGTATAGTTTTGCGCCATGTGATAGGTTTTATGAATATGTTTGGAACCTGATTTTACAGGAATTATTTCTGAAGATAATATGCTTTCAGTAGTGAAAATTATGTATCACTTCAGACAGTGATGGGCTATGAAAAATTTAATAAAGGGCTTGCACAATAACATGTTTTATTTTTTGCAAGAGAACAGAAAACACAAATAATGGTGCATTTAGAAAACATTTTAAAACATGTAAAAAGATCTTCAAAAAGTAAAAAATATATAATGGAAATTATATAAAACAACAAGTAAATTTAATTATGCATCACATTTTATGGCAGAGCTACCACACATTATTTTCATCTTCGTTCACCTCAGTTGCCTTTGGGAAGTTTTAAGGCCGAGCGATATTTGCCTAAGATTAATCTTAATTTAAGAATTAAATTCTTAAATGTTTCCAATTTAAGGGCATTGTCATTATGTGAGATATGTTGTATAGTCGAAAGAGATCTGGTTGTGCAAATATTATTCAGCATGTTATTATTAACATGATTAAGTTCATACAGCTTCAATGCTGAGTAACGATAATCTTTATAGTACTAATTTCAAATTTCTTTACACCTTTACAAATTTTGTCATGCAATTTTCTTGGTAAAGCCTTCTCAATGAAATCCTGAAAATTTTTTTTTCATGTTTAATACAAAATTTAATGTTTATCAGAGTATGATTCTAACATGCAAGACGTCTTTTTCTCAGAATGAATAAATAAACAAACAAAAAGAATAACCCAAGTAGCACAGCAACGTCATAACGATGTTACAAACTCGTCACGGATGTTGTTGCAACAGCGTTGTTAAGATGCTCAGATGTCCGCGAAACTCCACTGCATTACAACCATTGCAAAGACGTCTTTATTACGTCTTTGCAGATGAGGTTTTTTTGTCGCATAGACGTTATTGCGTCTTTCGCGGGTGACATTTTGGTTGTGAAAGCATCGTTTCACGACATCCTAAAGACGCCTAAATGTTCGCAAAATTCCACCTTTTTGCTACAGTTGCGAAAATATCGTGGTAATGTCCTTGTGTTACATATTGATTTATGCAGAAAAATAAGCTTAATAATTACTATATTTTTCTTCATTTTTTAAATTTTGTATTCCTTTATTTATCTTAAAGTTTAAATATTTTATCATTTCCTGAAAACCAAAAGATAATACAATTTTTTCTCTTTAGACTAAATATGCATAATTAATAATAGCCTTAATTATTTTCAGTACTTTACACTATATTTTTTAAATAAATTCTAAGTTACGATTATTTAAGATTTCATAATTTTTTTTCCTTAAGTGAGAGTAATTATGAAAGTGGTTGTTATAAATATATGAGATTAATAATAGGTTTTTAAGTAAATAAAACTCAATTAGACATAAATAAAAGTAAAGATATATATGTGGGTAAAAAAAAGAGCATTTATGATAACAACATTATCACATTTATTTCTGTTAAATCTCAACACTGAAAATTGCCCCTGTCATGATAAATTAGGAAGTGGTTCTTAAGGTAACATATAATCAGTATTTTACCTGAACTCAAGTATAAATTTTCTTCGTGTTTCACAGTAAAAAATATAACCATTAACTTCTATATCTCCAAGATATGCAAATGAAAGACAGTATAAAGTAGCTAATAAATGTGATAAAAATATACCTAAATCTAATAACTTCCCTTATTCATATCTAAAATGAAATAATAACCTAATAAACAATATACATGATAGCACTATTTAAGAAAAAAACATGAGCTAGTGTGTTTGAAAGTATAAATAGTAGACGGAAGGTAACAGAACTAAAATTTCAAATTAATAAAAAAAAATTGTGTTTTTTAAATAGTAAGCATTTAAAAGTGCAATAATTATGGATTGCAGTATTTACTAGCAATGCTGATGTTTCTTAACACCATTTCTTTAAATCATATGTAAATGTATTTACTTACTATTAGTTTCTACGTTTTAGAATAGTGGTATTAAAATGATCATTTCATACACTTTTTATAATCAAAAACGTTTCTTTTGATACTGTACAGAAATAATTTAATTAATATAGTATAGGATAGTAAGCTAAGTACGTTAAAGTAAGCTCTTCGTTAAATAGCACACGATGAAACTTTTTGTTTTATTATGAATTTCTTTGTTATAATATGCACATAATACACTGTTTCTTAACACCATTTCTTTCGTTCATATGTTAACTGACTGACTGATAACTTATAGCCAGAATACCACTGAGATCAGTAGTTTATCTGGCTCAATCAAATTTATGCCAGATGGGCACAATAACGTAGAACTATCTTCACGTAATGTCCGCCGTAAGGAGGTGCAAGAGGATAAAATAGGAGCCAGCACGCAGAGCACTGCAAGTACCGCCGTAAAGGCTCCTAATGGGGTCATAAAAGAGGTAGGAGGAAAAAAGTGAATTAAGAAATACACACAAAATGATAAATACAAATAGAAGTAATAAAAGTAGGTACTTATTAGGGGGATATGGAATTTCCGTATGTTTTTACCACCAATCCTCGAATTCCATATCACAGATTATGTTCTTACTGCATTAATATAATATTAACAAGACATAGTGCACAATAAAAATTAAGCTTTATTTAGGAACTTCGCGCACACTGCCCGACAGCCTGCCTGTTTCGCTCTGCTCGCTACTCGTAAGAAACTTCTCCTCTAGGGTTGCCACACTTATCGGAGGGCGCAAGGCGCGCTCCTTATCGCCATCACCACAGAGTTTCCCCCCAGTTCCTTTAATGGCTATTCAAAGGAACGACATAGGTTATGAAATTATCTCAGAGGATCCGTACTGTCGGGTATTTTTTTACATGATTACAAAATTAGAATATAAAATTAGAAAAGATCAAAATGCAATTCAATATATAACAAGGTATTGACACATATAATAAACATGAAATAACAAGAAATATGTTAAGATATGAATTTAAAAAAAAGTTTTAAATTGTTTTAAATTGTTATGTAAGAAGCAAGTTTCTTAGGGAAGTGAACATGTCTTCCCGATCTGGTGACAGTTTGTGTCTTAGAGAGTTCGTTTGCAGATTTATTCTGCTGAACTGTCTTTAAGTCTTTATTTGTTTTCAGTTCAGGCAAATTAGAGTCCGAAAGCAAATAGGCTGGTTTCACACGGTCTATAGACACAGTAGATTTCAGACCGTTAACATCAATTGTGAAAGTTTTGTCCGTTCTAGAAAGGAACTTTATGCGGACCTGTATATGGTTGGCACAGAGGTGGCTTTACTCGATCGACACGTAAGTATACATGCGTACACGACTTTAAGGTAGCACTTACGTAACATTTTTCTTGGCAATGTGCAGATGTTGCTATTGGATTCAATTGTTGCATTCTATGCCTAAGATTCGTGATAAATTGTGTGTCATACGGAGATATCTTAGATGACGTTATCATATCACTAGGCAGCTTGAGAGTTGTGCCGTACACCAGTTCAGCACAAGATGACTGTAGATCTTCCTTTACGGCTGTCCGAATACCAAGCATAACAACTGGTAGTGTTTCAGTCCAGTTATTGGTCTCGTGAGCCTTGAGAGAAGATTTTAAATGTCGATGAAATCGTTCAACAATGCCGTTGGACATTGGATGATAGGCTGTTGTTGTGATTCTGTTCGTACCCAAAATGCGCGCGTGAATTCTGCAAAAAGTGCGGATCTCATTTGAGAACCTTGGTCTGTTGTTATGATCGATGGGCAGCCAAAACGAGATATCCAACAGTTGAAGATGGCTCTGCAAATGGTTTCCGTTTTCATATCCGGGATGGGAATGGCTTCAGGCCATCTGGAGAATCTATCTATTAGAGTCAAAAGGTACACGTTGCCTTCTGATGGAGGTAACGGTCCGACGATATCCATATGGATTTCTGAAAAACGTGCATCAGGAAGAGAGAATGTGCCCAGTGGTGCTTTAGTATGCCTAGTAATTTTCGATTTTTGGCAAGATTCACAGGATTTCACCCAATTTTTGATATGACGTTTCATATCGGGCCATACATAACGAGAACAAATAAGCTTCGTAGTAGCTGCAATTCCTGGATGTGACAGATTATGCAGATGATTAAAGATGAGTCTGCGAAAGGAATTCGGAACAAATGGACGAGGAATGTCTGTTGATATGTCACAAAGAATATTACCATCAGAATATTGGCACGGTTTAAATTCCAGTTTCAAAGATGATGTGTTGTTTTTGAGAAGGTCTTGTACCTCCGGATCATGCCGTTGAGCTTCCGAAAATTTTTTAAAATCCAAAAATGGAGATTTTGTTATGGAATCAATTTCGATTCTTGAAAGAGCGTCAGCAACGACGTTTTTTGAACCTTGCACATGCCTAATATCAGTAGAGTACTGAGAAATAAAATCTAAATGGCGCAATTGTCGAGGTGAACATTTATGAGGGTTCTGTTTAAAAGCGTATATTAACGGTTTTTGATCCGTATAAATTATAAAATTTCTGCCCTCTAACATGTGTCGGAATTTCTTAATTGCAGAATAAATAGAAAATAATTCCCTATCGTACGCGGACCATTTCTGTTGACTTTTATTGAGTTTCATAGAGAAAAATGCTATAGGTTCCCATGTTTGTTGAGACAACTGCATAAGTGTGCCGCCGATTGCGACGTCTGAGGCATCTACCCAGATGCTTAGCTGGGCTCCGGGAATAGGGTGTCTCAAAAGGGTAGCCTGAGCAATGGCATTTTTGGCAGCAATAAAGGCTTGTTCAGCATTCTCGTTCCAATTTAATTGTGGGGATGAATCCTGAACACGAGAACGAGATTTCTTTTTATTAATATAGCCTTCTAACAATTTTATTAAAGGAGAAAGAATATGTGCTGCTTTAGGTATGAAACATCTATAAAAGTTAAACATGCCTAAAAATCGGCGAAGCTGAGTGAGAGTGGTAGGTTGAGGAAAATCTAAAATACATTTGACTTTGTCAGGAAGAGGTTCAATTCCGTTTTCACTAAGGTGAAAACCTAAGAAATCAATAGATGTTTGACCAAAGGTGCATTTTGAAACATTTATGCAAAGTCCATATTCCTGAAGTTTGGAAAATAAAGCTTTCAAATGCCTGCAATGTTCCTCAGAATCTTTAGAGGCTATGAGCAAGTCATCGACAAAAGCGTAAACGCCTTCTAAATCCCGCGTGACTTCATCTATAAAACGTTGAAAAGTCGCAGGATGCATTGCATAAGCCGAATTGCATACGGGTACTTTCGAATAAACCGAATGGTGTGCATATGGCGGTTTTGTGGATGTCGGCTGGGTTAATTGGTATTTGATGGTATGCCTTAATCAGGTCGACATGACTAAAAATTTTAGTACCGTGCAATGCAGCAGTAAAATCGGCTAAGCATGGAATAGGGTATTTGTCTTTTATTGTTTGAGCGTTCAATGCTCGATAATCTCCTACAGGTCTCCATTCCAGACTTCCCTTTTTTGGAACCATGTGAAGTGGGGATGCATAATTGCTGCTCGAAGGTCTCAAATGCCCCAATTGCATCATAGTTTGAAATTCTTGTTTTGCTATTTTTAAGCGATCTGGAGCTAACCGACGAGGTTTTGCAACCACAGGTGGACCTTTAGTTATGATATAATGAACGGTGTTATGTTTTTAACAGGTTGGTTAGGATCTGGTAATCTAGTAACTGAAGGAAATTCTTTTAAAATTTTGTGATATGGTGTTTAAATACAGTTTTTTGAATGACATTTTGCGTTTTTCTTTCTGAGATCAGGCACCAATTCAAAGAAATGGAGAAAATCTGCTCCAAGAATGGGTGTACTAACATTTGCTATAAGAAAAGTCCATGTAAACTGTCGTCTTAATTTGAAATCCAAAGAAAGTGTTTTTTGACCATAAACATGAATAGTAGAAGAATTAGCAGCGAAAAGTGTTTGTTGGGACGAATTCCGTTTTTGAGAATTATTTGCTGGAAGTAAGGACACGTCAGAGCCGGTATCGACCAAGAATGAAAGGTTTGTTCTACGGTCACGAACGAACAGGCGACGTGAAACTTGAGGCAAAGAATAAGTCGCCTCTATTCTTTGCTGGTTTCGTTTCCCTGCCATGAACAAGGTTTTGTACATTTGTCATCTCTACACTTTTTCCCAAAACGTCTATGATACCAGCAAACAGAATAATCTCTCCTTTTGGAATTGCTTCTTTCCTTATTGCGATCTCCGCGATTTGGCGAGCGACCACGAGAAAGAGAAATGCGATCAATACGTTTGTTTAATTTTTCTATTTGTTTAAATAATTTATCCTCAAGAGACTGATCGACTGTGCGAGAAACGGCACAAGTCCCTGGGGTTGGATTTACTTCTAAAATTCTGTCGGCAATTTCTGCAGCTTTATCTACAGTTAAATTGGAAACCGCTGCCAAAATAGACTGAACAGTCGAAGGCAAACGTTGAAGGAATAATTCTAACATTAAGTTATCAGGAACATTTAAAGATTCTGCTCGACGTTTCATATTTCTAAGCAAATCGGAAGGTTTTCGAGAACCTAATTCTTCTCCAGATAATAATTGGCGAATTTCTTGCTGAGAAGATTCTCCTGAACGATTTATTAACTCAGTTTTAAGCTTTGCATATGGATCAATAGGGTCTGGTTTCATAAGTAAATCCCGTACTATTGATGCAATATCTGGAGGAAGATGAGCAAACTACATAATTATATTTAGTAATGGATTCTGTGATAGGTTTGGGGGTGGCAAGAGCAAAGGTACTTTCACACATAATAAACCATAAAGATGGGTCTGATCGGTTATAAACCGGAATTTGGACGGCATGAACATCAGACATTGTGCAAGGTTTTTAAGCCAAAATAAAAGCAAAAATTTAACTAAAGAAAATGAAATTAAATGATAAGTAGAAAACAGAATTATAAAATGATCTATAATTACTACTCATCTGTGATCCGGAGGACGAAAACCGATGTAATCCATTACTTCTGGTTTGGAGATCTTGAGTGATGGCTTGTAGTCAAAACCGAAAGTGCTTGAGAACTGTTCATACGATTTAACACAGTCCGGGTTACCATTATGGAATGTGTAAAAATACACCAATCCTAGATTCCATTAGTTCCTGCATTAATAAAATTTTTTTCATTTGCCCATATTACTTTTAAACACCTGCATTGACCTTCTGTTTTAGTTTGTAGTCTCCATAAAGTGACCAGGTAGCCAGTTTTAGTATATCAATTTTCCCATATCCATTTATTTTCATTCTGTTAAAAGAATGATAGTCATAAGCCATTGGGAAGTAATGGGTCGAATTTTTCAGTTTATTGACGCAAACCATGCCTGCTAGGATGGAGGAATGAAGAAAAATCTATGGCTACCTTCATGCCTACTACAGTTCCATTTCGGTTTACAGCTCAGGCCATGAACAACGCAACTCTTGGTGACGTTTTAAACGATGTCTGCAGACTGGGAAGAAGTTAAGCGCCTAGCAGCTGATTTTCAACGTGCCCAATTAAGTACAACTGTTCAAAGGTAAATAAAATTTTAGAAGAAAGTAAGCTGCATTCTGTGCAAAAACTTATTAGTTCTGTTCGAGAAAAATATAATAAATGTACCTCTTTGTTTCATGGTATGAAATGTGGTTGTTATTAGAAAGGAAAACTAAACTAAATAAAACTAATTTATTGACCTTATTGGAATTTTAAGAACAAGAATTTTTTTCCTCCCTTGTGTTAAACTATACAGATCATTAATTTGGTTTTGTTTTATCATATGGAGCAGCTTTAAATTACTTGTTTACGTTAATGGTCATTTAAAAGATCCACTTTTTTTATTTCTCATAGTGTTAAAAATATATCTATCATGTGTCGCGAGTTGTATATAAATTTTCTACAATGCAATCATATATTTCTTTTTAACAATGAATTTATTTTGGAGTGGCATTAATATTCACAAAAATATTCTTACTAATTTTTAAAACTAAGTTATTAAATGCACAATATATTAAAGCTTGGGATCATACCAGTGACATCTTTTGCTCCTTTTTTTGTTTCATCAGAAAATAGTTATAAACCTTTGAAAAATATATGAACCTGTTCAGCAGTAAACCTATGAGAGGGAAAAACCTAAAAAAATTCTTGAATACTCAGGTCTGTTAGCTGGAGAGAAATATAGAGACCATGCTGTCTTCAACCATTAGTGGTATGGGAGCTACATTGAGTATCAGCTAAGTTGTTTTCACAAACTGCAGCTAAATAAAGGTAAACAGTACAACCTCTGAAATCAAGACATCCTATATCTAGAATGATCTAATGTCAGGACCTTTGGTCCACAGCCAAAAAATAAATCCATAAACGAAAATATATTCTAAAAAATCTGAAAGAATTCAAGCTTTCACATTGTATCAATATGTGTTTGTTAAAATTAAAATTTAAATTTGTTTAAATTTAAAAGCTTGTATTAAGGTTTTTTTTTTTTTTTTTTCTGCTCTCACCGAGCTTGCAATTTAGCACTCTGCTCTTGGACTCATTCTTGCTAATGCAGCTTTTTTTTATCTTTTCAACTTTATTATTAAACATCACTTTCTTCATAATCATGCCACATAAAATTCAACAAGAAAATCACCAAGTTTTTAAATCAACATATTTTTTGAATTCATGATGGACTGTTAAGTGTAAGTAAGTTTTCCTAACAAGATGACCAATATAATTTTATTTTATTTTATTTTATTTTTTTTGTCTTTTTAACTTTATTATTAAACATCATACATATGTCGCAAAAAGTTCAACAGCAAAATCACAAAATTTTTAGAAGCAGTATGCGGTAAAAATATATTTACAGGTGCCCCTTTCGTGAAGATTGGCGATTTTTGGCGGTACATGGACAACAAATTTGTGCAATTCTTAGCAGTGATTTTTGTGGCAAAAATCGCCGCTACAGGAAGCCAAAATATTCAATCAAAGAATTGCACAAACTCGGCATTGCGTACTCCCTTCACTTTGTCCATGTACACATAAATCTGTTTCCACTTAAAAAGTCAAAAGAGCAGCCATTTCTACACTAGAACCAAATAAAAAATATATAATATCAATAAACTACATTTTAAATCAATGAAATAACATAAAAAAGAAAATTCATCTTATAGCAGCTAAGCACTACACAAAGGAAATATCCTTATTTAGAAATTTCCATGTCTTCAGTCAAACAAAATTTCTTAACAGCTACCAGAAACTACCTAAAATTATCTAAATACTGGCGTAGCCACATAATTAAGAAAAAAAAAAAAAAAAAAAAATGATAAAATATCCTCCGTAGTGCAGGTATCCTCCAACGTTCGACTATATACATTTCCTGCGTACAAACAGGACACTTATAATGGCTGCTAAGTAAACCTTCATTTACACACCAGTCAATTAATGATTTTTTTCCCTCTTTCATTATAAATCGTACAGAAACTTCAAATTAATCTTTCGACATTCAGTCATTTTACCATGTAAACCACTAAATAAGCAGCATACTTCCTAACCTACATACAGTACAAAAACAAGCCCTTACACAAATCTTTTCTGATCAGTCAAATTCATAACAATCCCACAACCAATTATGTCATAATAAGGTTTCCATAACATTCAACTTCTCAGGTTACCATACATGAAACAACAACTTTACGATAATCCAAGGGGCATCCTTAAACACAGGCTAACACAGTATGCATTAGAATTTCATGATAGTGTTAAGATATTGCTATTTTTCGGTTAATCTTTGGATTATGGTAACTTGGTGATTTTTTGGCGAAAATTTGGCGACCAACTCTGCTACAACAACCCTCTATTTTTTTTTTCCGCCGCCATTTTGTCTTCACGAAGAAGACATTTTCTTTTCTTTTTAGTTACTCACCTTTAACAATCTGCTAGGACGAATTACACTTATCTTAAATTTATGGAAAAACTGGGTTAATCTTTGGATTATGTAACTTGGTGATTTTTTGGCGAATTGGCGACCAACTCTGCTACAACCAACCCTTTTTTTTTTTTTTCCGCCGCCATTTTGTCTTCACGAAGTAAAAACATGTTTCTTTTCTTTGATTTACTCAACACTTTTTAACAGTCTGCTAGCCGAATTACACTTATGCTAGAATTTAGGAACAAATGCTAATCATGACAAATATTACTGCAATTGGGAAAAAGTGCAGAATCGCAAACTCCTTGCCGCGTTTTCAAATCCACATACACGTAACCATGTACAGTCGACTTATTTTTTCTTAAAAAAACATCCCAGAATTGCAAAAAAAATGGCATTGCGCACACTCTTGACTTTATCCATCTACACTGCTATTTTCTCATAAATTACAAAAATTTGCACGAAAATGCAGGAAAATTTTGTGAATCTTTAAACTCTGTAAAAAGCACATATATGAAATTACCTGATCGCGAAAAAGTATATACCCTATCCAAGGATGAACATTTCCACGTATAATATAAATAAAATATCCAAAAACTTTTACCTCTAAATTATCTATTATAAACGTCACCATCGAATTCATAACAAAATATTAAAAATGGTTACAAATACTTAGTGTCAAATATTTAAATTCTTTCCACGCACATTTACTTCTACTCAAACGTATTCCAAAATACTACAAACATATAACTCTCAAAATCACGATCATTAAATTAAAATATAATGAAATTAAAAAACACTACTTAAAATATAAATAAGCACATACATTAAATTAATAAAAATTAGCTTACAATCCTAATTACTTTAAACTAAATCATTGCTAATAACAATTTTCCAATAATACCGTATTAATTTTTTTACTCCTTACATTTAGAAAAATGCATAAAATAATATCCTCAAATAATTAAAAATACTAACTTACCTAATCTTCTACAGAATCTTGAGTGCATGGCGGATCACAAAATGTCCATTTTCACCAGATTTCTTGCACCGCCATTCAAACTTATCTGTAATATCCTTCCTTTCACACAATCTCATTTCATTCCCACATGTTGGACATTCATACTTATCCGCAATTAAGCAATTCTTTTCAATTACACATAAACGGAATAAAAATTTCAGATTTACTTTATATACGGTCATGGGATCCAAATATTAAACAACACTGTTTCACAGAACATAGAATGAAACTAATAGTATAAAGTACAGCAAATATTTTTACAAATTTACCCCTTTTTCCGATTAAAGAACAGTGATTTGTCCATTAATGTCACATGACATATCTCATGATCTCTCATTTCCCTCACACAAAATGATGCGTAATCGGAACTGAGTACTTCTCACATTATTCCCAAAGTCCTAGGTAGTAACCTTTATCGCCTCCAAAATGTCGCCAAACTACCTGTTACCATATTCCAAAGATTAGCCTATTTTTCTCCTTTTCAAGTCATTATATCAATTCTTCATTTTTTTTAGCAAGACAGATGGGTACTATTTCATTAAAGCGGCGTCAGTAAAAAATGAAGGAAAAAATGCTAGAGTAACATGCCAAGTATCGTAGTTTGTGATTTCTAGTTCTCATTTGAAATATTATCACTCGTTACTTTTTTGCAATATTTTGGTATTTTTTTTTAGTACGATGGATTGCACAATTTGGTCATTACCTAATGACCAAATGTCTGTTATAAGATTCTTTCAAGACAAGGGAATAATTCATAGCAGTAGACTTTGTTTTCCAAATAATCCTATGAAGTTAACTTTTGACTCAAACAAAGCTCCTATATGCCGTTGTTATGTCTGGTGTAAGAAAAAAAAGATTGAGAACCAAAATATGGTTTGAAGATTCGCATCTTTCTTTCCTCAATGCTATTCGTTTTATCTATCTGTGGTATCAAGAATTGAATTTTACTAACTTCAGGTAGAAATCAGCCATAATATAACAATAGATTGGAAAAGCTCTTTTAAAGTCTTTTTACAAAAAGAAAAAACAACATTGGATGTGTTCTTCCAGAATAATGGGTATTCGGGGTTTATGCTGGAAAAACAATGTGGATGGAAGCATTATACTTTCACTGCTGGAAAGGATGTAAAAAAGAGGAATCAAGAAATGCTGGGTATGAACATTTCACTGTGAATCGCAGTTAGGATTTTATAGAACCTGAAACTAGATGTCATATTCAAACTGTGGAGCTGTGCTAGGTGGAGAAATTATATCAGCGCGGCACTGCTCGCCACCATTTAGAATTGTATTTGATAGAATTTATGTGGCATCAGTTACATTCAAAAACTGAACATTTTTCTGTAATGTTGAATGATATTTGTAATTTTATGCCATCTGTTTAGATTGAATTTCGTTTTGCTTTGCTATTTTTTATTTATGTGTAGGGTATTCTAGATTAAAAAATTAAAAAGAAAAATTTAAGAAATTAAAAAAAATTTTTGCGGTAAATCTTTAGATTATGGTAACTTGACGATTTTTTGGCGAAAATTTGGCGACCAACCCTGCTACAGCAACCTGCTAGTTTTGTTTTGGACGCCATTTTGTTTTCACGAAGTAAAGGCGTGTTTTTTTTTTCTTTCTTTTTACTCAACATTTTTTTCCAACAATCTGCTATCGGAATTATGCTTATACTAGAACTTTTATGGAACAAAAATGCTTAATCATGACGAAGATTGGGTGTGAAATTGAGAGAAAATGCAGAATCGCAAACTGCTTGCCACGTTTTTAAGAATTGCACATGCACGGTATCCATGTACACGTCGACCTATTTTCACTTAAAAAAACATCCCATAATTGCACAAAAATGGCATTGAGCACACTCTTGACTTTATCCATGTACACATTGACCTACTTTTACTTAAAAAGTCAAAGAAAATTGACACACATCCAATTCTTCTTACTCTTGTAAAAAGCGTCAAACAAATAAGTGGACGATTCTGCACTTTAGCAGCGAAATTGTTTCTAAGTGCTTATTAGCTAAAATTACGATCGTAATTTTCCGGAAAATGTCACATGACATGTCTCGTGATCTCTCCTTTCTCTGAGACAAAATAATGTGATTGGAACTGTGTACTTCTCAGATTATTGCTGAAGTCCTAGCTAGTAACCTTTATCGCCTTACCAAAATGTCGCCAAACTACTTGTTACCATATTCTAAAGATTAGCCAAATTTGCTTTTTACAAAACTAATTTCTTTTTAGTCTATTGAACCCTATTATTATTTCTATAATTTTATACTCGGCAACAATTAGTGGAAAAAAAAAGAAGCATCTCATTTTAACTGACTCCGCTATCTAACAGAATAGTACCGACAGATGACTTACACAACTTGTTTTTCTTAACGTTATTTTCTTCTCTTATTACAGACCTTTTTGTTTATTAGAACAACATATTATTTTATCCCCCCCCAATGATCAAACGTAAGTGATACTTTAACTTAAATCTCATTGATATTTAAAACATACGGTTGGCTGGAGGTCATGTGCAGGCCACATCAGATTTTTTTTTTTTTAGTGTTGTGACGAGGTCACATTGAATTAATTATTTACTACGTTACAGCAATATTTAGATATTTGCATCAGATTCCTTTGGTGACAGTTTCATTTTTTCACCAACTTGTGTTGTAAGGTGAGGAACAGATTTCATCAGACAACTGTTGTAAGCGGAGGAAAGTATTGCATCAGACAACTGTTGTAAGCAGAGGAAAGTATTGCGTCAGACAACTAGCGTCTTCACTTCTGTTTCCCTAGGTAGCTGAAGGTATTTTGCGATTGTTTGCCTTCTGACGCTGGATCTTTTTTCATTGGCAGCAAAATTTAACTGTGGAACTTTATAAAAGGTGGTATTTTTTTGTCCAAGAGGAGAAGGAGGAGACTGTGAAGGTGCGAGATGGAGATGCTTCATAGAGAAAGACAGTAAGAGTGGGGTAAAATGCACACTTTTGGGAGTTTATTGTGCAAGCTTTCTTTGGTCTCCCAGTGTGTATGAAGGAAGCGAGTTTCTTTCTCTTTGATGTTGTAGCTGCAAAATTTAAGCTAATCTCCTTTTTACCGGGCTTGGTATTTTCGCCCGGCATCCCGATGAAGAGTACCTGCATGTGTTTGAGCTGAAATACACCAAGTCTTCGGAGGGCTGTGTGGAAGAATTGATCTATCCTTTTTTTTTTTTTTTTTTTTTTTTTTTCGCGAGTGAGGAGGCCTCATATCGTCATGTGACATACCGAATTAAAAAAAAAGGGAATATCTCTTCAGTATTGTTAGTATCCAATAAAGCAAGAATTAAATCTGTTTTCACGTGTTTGTCACTCTCTCATCACGGCGGGCTATAGACCTGGATCTTGTCCTGGGGTAAGTTGCCACTATATTCCTGTTTATCATAACATGTGACATATACGTTTGCCACCACAACCAACGAAATAAAACATTACCACAAGCGTACATGTGAATTTTTTTCTCTTCACTAAAAATGACTGTAATTTTTCTTATTATTTTATATTATTATATTTTTCTTATTATTTCTTTATTATTTATGTTATTAATACCTGTTTTCTATAAATTAATGGTACTTTCATATTAACGCAACCACCTTGAGGCAAACTGACTGTTTTTTACAAATGAAAAGACAAATTATTTATTAGCTGCAAGTTGGCAATTTTCATGACATTTTTAAAAATTTTTCAATAGACATAAATGTTATTGATATTTATTATATATCAATCCAACAAATATTATAAACAGACCTAAAGGAAAATTAACTCAAAAATTTTTAAATACAAATTTTAATTTTTAAATAAGATTATATGATGCATTAAAAAATAAAACACATTTTTCATAAATCTTAATTCTGTTAGTGCTATACATATCAATTTGTTTTTGCTAAAAATAAAATCTGAAACTTGCACAAATATGGTGTACTGGCTATCTATTAACCCCTTAAGGCACACATTAAATTCTAATTTTTGATCAAAAAATCACCTATTTTTTTTTCTTGCATAATCATATATATGCATAACAGCCAGGGTTAGCTTCAAATCGAAATCTCGGTGGTGCAACGTTTGGTTGATTTATACTAATTTTGATACCAATTTCCTTGTGCTATATCCAAAACTCTCGTTGTCATTATCTTCCGATTCACTTCCATCACCTCAAGAAATCATCAACTTCTCATCGCTTGAAACTGTTCTGATAAATTGGGCATATTCAAAATTGTCATCGTCAAAGTTAGCTGCTCATTATCAGATAACTTTTTCTAAATAAGTTACAAAAACACTTAGTAAAATTTAATTTACGGTTAACTGCTTACCATTTTATGATAATTAATTACGTAATAAAAATGGATATACTACCTTTTCCACACCAAACGACTACTTTATAGCAAAGAATTCCTAGCAAACTTACAGCTAATCATCAAATTGCGCCATGTGGTTTACACAAGAAAAATGCTGAATAGTGGTGCCATCTATGTCAAATAAGTTTAATTATAATCTAGCCTATTTATTTTTACTGGAACGGATGGCATGTGCAAATTTGCCGGAAACTTTCGCCCGTGTGAGACACGGGCAAATGCGTTAAGGGGTTAAATGCATCTCATCATTGTTCCCTTTAGCAGTTTCGTGATAAAATGCTGTATTCCTGCAAAACTTTTCCTGTAATTTCTTCCTGCTGGCAAATTTCATAAACTATGTTTTAAAATTGAAGATAAAATATATCACAGACTTCCTATAAATATTAAAAAAAAAAAAAAAGAATACAATAAAAAGAATGCATACTGATATGGCAATTTTGCTTGACTGAAGGATTGCTAAGAGCATGGTTACCTGAAGAATATTTATGTATGTGATTGCTAGAGTTAAATACATTCTGGGAATATTTGGCAACTTCTACTAAGGTGGCTGTGATAATACTTAAATCCCAAATTAATTATGTTCTTGTAGATCGTTTTAACTTCAATAAATTTATCTATCTAAATTCTTGTATCTTTTAGAACTGATTGTGCTTGCTTTTAAAGTTTTTTCTCCTTTTTGTCATTTCTAGAATTTGACATGTTATATTTTTGTGTCTACAGGCTTTCTGAAAGGAACTGTATAGAAATTGTAAAGAAGCTTATTGAATTGAAGCTGATTAATGTTATATTTACTAATGATGGAAAAGAATATTTAACACCTGCTCGTCTTTTAAAAGAAATCAAAGATGAACTTATTGTACATGGAGGTTAGTTTAAAATTTTAAGTATGCATTGTATTTTAAAAGTCATTTCCATCAAATTTAGCTTAGCGTGTTTTATAGCCTACTGATTATTTTATGTGTAGTCTATGTTATATAAATGGAGCTTTCTGATTATTCGCACCTCTTCATTAAAAAGGTATGATCATCATCACGAGTGACCAGACAGTCCATTGTGAGTCAATGCCTTTCCTTTGAAGATTTCTCCATAATGATTCTTTGGTTATTTTCAACCTCTAGTTCCTCTCATTAAGTGCTAGAAAATCTTAACTCTACTGAATCAGCCCAACTCAACCATAGTCTTTCCTGCTTTCAGGTTCCAGTGGGTTTTAAAAGCAATACTTATTTTAACAGCATTGCCATTTAACATTTAGATCCATCCAATTCGTTTTGTTAATTTTTATATATTTTATGATATCAGGTTGTTTAGATACAGGATGTTTGTTTTTAAACTGATGCTAGTGAGAGCTATTTGTAGCTCTATCTATTGCCTGAAATGTCACCAAATTTGGTGAGGGGAAAGATGGGAAAAAAAGGTTATGTGAAGAAACAATAGTTTTGAAACTTGCTAATAGGGAAAATGTAGTGCTTTTCTATTCTACACAACTGAGAATTTGCATGAAAAATGGGTAAAATTTGAAAATGCAAATGCACAGTTACATAAACAACAGTAATTCAGTCTATGAAAATAAGGGAAAACTCCACTGGCATTCCAAATGTTAGCTAGGTTCAACATGCCTCTCACTTTACTTCGGCACGCAGTACGTGTGAATGTGTTTCATCTTCCTCAGTCAAATGCAACTGCCACTCTTTTTGAGTTTAGAAGTGGTAACAACTTATGCAAAAAAGGCCTGATTCAGAAGTTTGCATAAACAGAATCCTTATTAGTTTGATTTTGGTAGAAGGCAGAAACTGGTGCTTGAACAGAGAATTGCTGATGTTGCGACTGCAATCATTGATGGTACTTATGGAACCATTGCTGGTAATAGTACCGGGGAATAGTGGAAGAGTTGGATTTGAATTTTTAAATGGTATGTCAAAATCCTTCAGAAAGTTCTTCACTTTTACACATACCAGGTAAACCATGTGCAATAAAACACAATGGGATAAATGAGTAACATTTGCTTTGACATTTATCGCCAATATGGAAGTCAACACTTTGCCATGGAGAGTTCTTTGGGGAGATGAGGCCCATTTTCACCTAAATGAGACTCTGTTAACATTCAGAATTCTCAAATTTGAGCATTCGATCAATTCCATACGGCTCAGGAAATCGCACTGCATTGACCAAAAGTCATGGTTTGGTGTGGCTTTGCACCAGATTTCATCAGCAGATCATTCTTTTTTGAGAACATTGTTCTAACACATATCTATAATTGGTACCACACACAGTTATCATGATTACTGACTGGTTATGTCATTCCACAATTTCAGCAAAAGCAGTTACTATATCAGGTAACATTTATGTAGATATGAGCACCACTGCACATTGGTTTAACGGTACAGCGGTTGTTGTGTGATCACTTTGTAGGAGAAAGTTTCTATATTTCAGGATACCCTTTGGCAAAAATTGGCGATTTTTTTCAGGCATCATTCCAATTTATGTACAACACCCTCCCAAGTAAAATAGTGTCCAAAATATAATTAAAACATAAAACAATTATAATCTCAATAAACTCCATTTTAAATCAAAATAAAACAAGGAAATAACATAAAAAGGAAAATACATGTTATCTAATCTATGGAGTACAAAAAGGAAATATTGACTTACCTTAGTTAGAAATTTCTGTATCTTCCCTGTGTGGTGCACAGAATTCCTTAACAGCATCCAAAAACTATTTAAAATTAACTGAACAGTACTAGAATCTGTATACCGTTGTCGCCACAGAAATTCGAAAAAGCAGAAATCAAAAATATCCTCCATACTGCCGTACTGTTGGTGACATTTTTTTGAAAATCCCTTTTTATTACACCCCACGTATTTTTCATAGTGTTGATATGAGCTCTGGTTTCCAAATCCTTAAATGCACTGAGATATGAATTTGAATCTTCAATGAAGCCATTTGAATCTTCAATTACACACCAGTCAGTCAGTGTTTTCTTTTCCAAATCGTTCAGAAACTTCAGGTTAATCTTACCACCGGCGGCCATTTTATGGTGTAAAGCACAAAATAAGCAATGTACTTCCTAACCAACATCCAATGCAGAACTAAAGCCTGAGAAATATTTCCCAACAATAAGAAATCACCACAATTATACATTGCAACCAGTTGCGTCATAATAGGGTTTCCAAAAAATTCACCGTAAAATACTCAGGTAATCATAAAAGAAACAACAATTTGGTGAAAAATGAAACAACTTGGCAATATTCCGAGGGTTGCTTTTTCCCCACTCAAGTGGCCCATTATTCCCTGGATCTAACCCCATGTGACCGTGGGTTATTTAAAGCTCAACCTGTATCTCTGTGAGGTCCTGATCTTGATAACCATAAAAGGCAACATATCATGGGTGTGTTAAGCACTCCTGGTGATATGTAGTGTTTGGCCGTTGAGAATGTTGTGTACAGAATGCAGAGAGGTATGTACCCTCAACAAGGAAGGACTTTTATTGAGTAAAATTCTATTGTGCTTTAAAATATCATCTCTGTAACCATGTGGGACCGTTCATTTACTGCTTTAAAGCAGTGTTGCACTGAAATTTCTCAGCTGTGGAAATTAAAACAGTATCCCATTTTTCCCTATTGGCAACTTTTTGAAACTTATTTTTTCCTCACAAAATCTTTTCTTTCATGTGATCTTTAGTCCTCCAACCAAATTTGGTGGCATTCCATGATTTGACTTAGATCGCTTTGACACATCTAAATGTTTAAATCATAGTACAACTTGCACATTAGAGTTACAGAGATGGGGGGTATCAAGACTATTGAAAATCAATTCCCAAATCTGGAATTTTTTACCTAATAATGTTGCACACTTCATCCTTCTTTGTGACTTGTTTGTATATTTCTTTGTGACTTGTATGTAGTCTTGTTTGTATATTGTCATTAGAATATGCATCTGGAGAAAAATAAAATGAAATTTTGAATTCCTATTTTTCTGAATGATTGATATCCCTTTTTCATTATCTAATGTTACTTACCAATTGAGTTTCCCAAATTTACAAATTATTATATCAATTTCTTGATTACTCAATTCAATACTGTTATGTTATCAGAACTGTATTCAGAAATGTGTGTATGTATGTACGTGCATATATGTGTGTATACATGCATACATGAACACATGCATCCATTTCTGAATCCAATCCTGATAATACAAGACTTACCCTTAATTCTTTATGTAACATCTAGCTTACGTTCAACCCCCCCCATGCTTAACTGTCTAAATTTTAGTATTTTAGCTTTGTTCTAGATGTGTTTATGGCACAAAGTGAATCAAGTTGAGTGTGCATATTACACTGTAGATGTATTGCATTTTTGGAAAATGGAATGTAAGAATTCATGGAGTTTTGTTTTGAGATAATAAAGAGTACATTATTAGAAGAAAATTTCTGTCATTTTAGTATGCTTTGAAGTTGATTCATCTACTACTATTTTCATTCATTGTTTTTTTTTTTTTTTTTTTTTTTTTTTTTTTTTTTTTTCCCCCTTAAGTCCATTTAGTAATGGAATTGTTTTTTCTTAGTCCATTACTAATGGACTTAGAAAAAACAATTTCAACAGAAACATTTTACTTTAAAAATAAATAGAAATATTGGTTATAACTTTAAAAAATCGTTTATAACTCCTGAATTCATGCCTGTCCTTCTCTAAGAAACAAACAACAAACACTTTGACAGAGGTTAAGACTGACAGAGGTCAGGACCGGCGTCGCGTATGTGTGGCATGCTTTTAAACCAGTAAGAGTGGAACGCGATGCAACGATTCCACTCTTACCAGCCCAGCGTAGCGTATACATGAAGAGTTTCGATCAATCTCTTCAGCCTAGCATCGCATATACATAACTTGAAAACGGTACAATTTTTTAAAATCTTTTAAATGCCGCTAGATGGTGCTAAATGTTAACAGTTTTCGCATCAGTTAACTCATGTGGCTTTCTGATCTTCATGTATGAGCATCAGTGTCTGTTCTGTGCTTCTGGTTTTGATGGATTTATTGATGTAATCAAACTGGGAATCAGAGCTCTTTAAGTTAAAGGGACATGGGCATGTTTGTTTATTTCGCTAGGAATTTTTTTTTTTTTTTTTTTTTTTTGTTGTTGTTGTTGTCTTTGTTTTTATTCTTTGCATTTTTCATTATAAGAATGAGGGGAAATACATCTAGCTCAATGTTTTAAAAAGTACCTGATAAGGTAAAGTGTCCAATAGCAGAACTAAGTATTTAAACATGTGTTCAAAAAATTCTATCCTGTTGAACTTTGTGTATGAGGGTGACAAACGTGGGTGCTGTCGTAAAAATTATTACTACAGGGGAAGGTGATCACCGAATTTCAAAATGGCAGTGTTAAGGAACTGAAGGATGCTGTCTTCTGAAAGAAGTACTGTCTCAAAATGGAGGAGAAAGAAAAATATATGTTATAAAGATTAAAGTCTTCACATAATCGGGGTACAGAACGTCTTTGAAACTAAAAGCCCAATTTTTTTAGTAAAGGCAAGAAAATTTGCCAGTTATAAATTAATAAAATAGTGGGAAGAAACTATACTTAATAATTGAAAGGGAAAAGAAACAATATCTTTGTACATATTTACATTAAATTTCTTATCATAGCCATTCACCTATTACCTCCAATTAAGGTTTAAGTAATAATTATATCATTATAGATGAAAAATTTTTAAAAAAGGGAAGTTTATACTAGCTTTCTTTTTAGAGTTATAAAAATTTTGAATAGATGTGTTTTGTTCTCTAAGAGAATTTTGATTAAATAATTGATTTCTTATAAATATTCAACTTTGTTACAAATACTTTTTATTCTAAGGAGCTGAGTATGTAT